CGATAGGGATAGATCCGTCGTGCCGCACCGCGCCGCTGCACGATGCGACGTGATGGGTTATACGACGGATAGACGAAGATGAAACCAATCGTAGACGAACTGGGACGAGGTGGCGGACAAGGGGAGCGACAGTTCAGCCTTGAAATGCTTCGTCACGAACGTCGTGCACGAACGTTGGACTTGCTGCGGATTACGCGGACTCGCGGTTTCTTTCCGTGCTTTTCCCACGTCTGGCAAACATTTGCGTACGCTCGCGTGCAAGAGAAAGAGAGAAAGAGAGAGAGAGAGAAAATTTTTATCTAAATTGATATAAAATTTTTTAAAATATCCACAAAAATATATTTGACTTTTTAAGCTTTTTTTGTAATAGTATGCAGGTGACACACACACACACACACACACACACACACACACACACACCGAATAAAACCGAATATTGATCCGATATGTTTGAAAATATAGTATAAAGTAGGTTACTAGGCAAGACCCAGTTTTCATTCTGAAATACAATATTTCTAACTATAGACACACGTACCTCGAAGAAAATTTTCTAGTTAAAATAATCTTTTCGCAGCACGATTCTTTTTGACATTCTCAATTTTAGTCTATTTATTGTATTTTTTAGATATCTATAAAATATAAAGGATGTATATAGCAATATTAATATAATTTTATTTTATTTCAATTCAGTAAGAGAATTAGACATAATATCTTAGATTACTAACTAATTATTACTTTATTCGGTTGTTTCTTACATTTTATTTTTAAAAAATTTTGATATTATTGGGAAATATATATTATTTTTCTTATATTAAAATACTCTTATTTTAATACAGGTATGCAATCTAAAAAAAATACTGTTTTTTTTTTCTCTAATCTAGCATGTTTTCGAAGAATAATATTTTTTACAAATACAAATACAAATTTTTTAAATAATATGTAAAAGACAGTTTATACTCACGTGCGCGTCTGTATGTGTATGTACGCACGCATTTTTTAAGCATCTGCACGTATCTATATGTATAATTAATATGCGACACGTGATATTCGCCACGTGCAAAATTTCTGTAACATTAAAAATGAGGCTAGTAAACCATGAGAATCTAATATGCTGTCCCTGTTGGATAGCTAGACGACCAGGAAGCGGAAGCGACTGAGGCAAATTGTTAAAAAAGCAGAGCGGAAGAAGCCGACCCTATGAGCGAATGGATTGAGTAGAGCAAGAGAAGGATTACGAAGTAAGATAGTAAGAGAAGACGAAAAAAAGGAGGGTAGCTCAGCTTCGACCTCTTGGTAGGCCTCGATCGATGCCCGTTGCTATGGTGACCAGACTGGCATCGCGGAGCTCCACTACTGATTATTTATGTCAAAGATGCCTCCCTTCTCCCGCCCACTAGCAACCCTCCGAGGCACGAAACGCAAACGCGAACAAACTACCCTGGGCAGAGGGGGCGAAACGTTCGCTATCTGACAGCCTACTAGCCTATCCACGTGACACTGAAGACTAACAAGTTCCGAGGAGTGGATAACTTGCGGATAGGATGGTAGAATATGTAGATAGGGACGAAGTGGATATGTAGAAAATGAATCTAATGACGTAACTCAAGGTAAGAAATCGATCGATTTTCTTTTTTCTGAAAACGTGTATTTTATTAACTATATGTGGATATCAAAAGCTTGTATAACACATAGATACTTTTAGTAGTATTTTGTTTATATATACAATTCATTATCTCGATAAATATACTTATCGTAATTTATTTTTCATTGCAATATGTAGCAAATCAATTCAATTCGAGCGTGATAATAATTTGTGAAAAATTTGTGAAAATTGTGCCTGGTACTGCGAGAAGAGAAAAAGGAAGAGCAGACGGTAGAGGAAAACCAATGAATACACAGATTAGAAAGATAAGAGAGTAAATGGGCCGCGCGCGTACACACACATACACTATATATATGTATATATATATATACACGCATATATGTATGTACATTATATACGCGTTCAAGTCTATTACGTACAATCTAGAACAGCTCCTGACATTCATAGATAATCATTTACAATATATTTAGCATATCAAATAAAAAAAGACACTGTCAAAAAATAAAAACGAAACAACGATGTAACTAATATATCGGAAATATTACGAATGGGATATTATTAAGGATATACGTTTGGTAGATTAAATTAGTAAGGATATTATTAGCCACATTAACAAAAGCAACAGTAACAGCACATATTTAACAATGAGCTGGTAAGAGAAGGATATAAAATGACATGCATAGGAAAGAAAGAAAGCAAGCGACTCCCTATGGGAAGGGTACTTGCGACCCAGTTTCACCCTCGCAAGGTGGCAGCAATCGATACTGCGCTTAAGGGTCGTATGAAACGCGATCGCAGTGCCACTGTGTGCCAAAAGTAAGAATTGGGACTTGCGCATGTCGCGTTTATTTGGAGTGATCCGATAATTAATTCCCACATTTTCAGAATTCATTGTTAATGTTTAAGTTATTTTAATTTGCCATTTAAGATTTCTGTTGACCGCAACTATATATTATTTGAACCATATGGTGTCAGAAACGCAAAATCATATGAATCATTTCCTCTTGCGGCATTACTTATACATTGAAATAAATTAACTTTCGCGCATGTCGCCATTCTTCAATGATCTATTTAAATTAATATATCGATCGATTCGATAATAAATTGACATATATAAATAATCGGGACATGAAATAACCTACTAAAGATTTCATAATAATATCCTTTTGACAGAAGTGTTTTTTTCACGAAATGTTTTCGAAATTTTAAGACGTTAATATTTTTTAATTGTGAATGTATATCATCTTGTGATGAGGCGCGAAACGATTCGTTCGAACTTGATGCGAATGCGCGATATGCGCACGTCATGAAATCTAAACGTCCGCATTACAATGCTCTTATCTGCCACGTAACCAACGTTTAACAAATATAGCGACTATCGAGAGCGGTGGTGATAGTCCCGACGCGACGGTGGGCGGATATGCTTTTGAATATGATAGAGAAATCTGATCTACGACCGTATGGTAAAGTTCGCGTCACCTATCTGAAATTGGCGGTATTAGAAAGAAACCGATTCCAATATGGCCTGTCCGCAAAAAAGTCAATATTTAAATCAAACTTGCGTTTAATTAGTCATTTAACGGCGTTTAAGTATATAACATTACGAATCTTTTAAATCCAACAAGTTCCAAAAAAAACTAACCAATTTTAAAAAGAAAAAAGCACAACAATATATCCTATATTTATAGCTATTGATAGTAATCGCTTATACTGGCTTATATGTAGATAGCGGGTGGAACGAATTTTATTGAAAAATGTTTTGTACGCTTTGTCTCAAATAGCCAGTCTGTGTAAAATGGATTTTGCAAATTAAGTGTCTCCTCTAAATTTTGTCAATAGATTGGTAGAAATATCACAGATTCTAATAACGCAATATGATAGCAGATCGGCAGAAATGGAGCATATATATTAAAATAGAATAGTTATGAAATGGCAGATTCTGTCTGGTTTCTGCTAGCAATCTGCTATAATCTTGTTGTGTCGGCATGCTCTGCTAGCAGAACACGAGCTTAACACAACACACACACACACACACACACACGAACAGTGGATATAGTGATACCAATCTGCCGCAATATTCTGATCGAATCTGCTGACAAGCTGCTAACATACTGCTAAAATTTTGCTTAGATATATAAATAGTAGGCATGTATAAATATGCAAACTGTCCAATAGATAATGAAGTATGCACATTCCTTGCTAATGCTACTCTCGGCGATCCTGCAATGGCGAGCTCGAATCGTGATAAATTTCGCGGCCGTGTAATTCTCATAATCCATATTTATTTAATTAAATTAAATACAATGAATTATATTTAAATGTAGAGCATATTGAAAATATAATACAGTTATACTTGAGCGATTATTACATTAAAAACGCAATTATTCTTTAATATTCGCTGCCCTTCGAGGTGTGCACGCTTCTGTCGACTACGATAAGGTCATCGCACTATTAATGTAAGTATCGACACAAATGTTCCAAATCATAGGATGTACAATGTCGATATACAACTGTGAAAGATCGTTTCGTTTATCATTTTTTATTCTTTACACATACATCAATTCAGCTACAATCCAATAATTTTATCCCTACACATTTCATCAATACCACAAATCGCACAATATCCGCTATTGGACTAACGTAAATAATTAACAATTATCCTTAATATTTACATGAACATTACGATTAATCGTTTAATATAATACAGTTGTTATACGCCGTCCGTTTCCGTTTCCGATAAGTAATACCTCATTTTTCAGATGCTTGCAGGAGGATCCCCTGATCAGATAAATACAACACATTCATCAACAAAGAATCAATATCGAAATGATTTTATTAAGAATTATATACTTTTGTTCGTGTATACTTTTATTCTTATGAAAGCTTGATTATATTGACATTAAATATCAATATAATTTTTAAAAGCTTTTTACCATTTTATGAAAATAGAAGTAATACGCGATGCGATTACTAGTAAAATTATTTCGATATTTAACCTTTGTATTTAAATTCCTAAATTTGTAATTTTTTAGATCCATTTTTTGTATTCTCTCTCTCTCTCTCTCCTCTCCAAATTCTTTCGATTATTTTATCTTTAAGATCTTCATTGACTTAATTTTATATCTTTGTAATCTCAATCGAGCAGATATTTGAGATTTTTGATTCCTTGTTTGAATTATTGGATCCTTAACATTTTTGAGTCTTGATTTATTGAAATTTGAGGTAATGAAATTTTACAAATTTTTTTGTTTTTCGATTTTTCCTTTTAACTTTTTGTCTTTCAGGATTTCTCCAAACTTTCAAATTTTAAAATCGTAAATTTCAAAGATTAAAAGTCTGCAAATTTTATACCTTTGACGATAGTGGAAAGAGGGCAATAAAATAAAAGTATAGGAAATACTCTATTAATTCTAATCTTTGTTAAGTATTCTTGTGTTCTTCAGGAAATCACATGCGCAGAATATCTCTGCATTAAAGGGTCACCTATAGAAAGCGAGGATGGATATTTTAATAGCGCGTTCATATTCGTCAAATTTATGCGACAATTGCAATAACATAAGCAAAATATATACAACAGTGGATTCTCGATTGCAGTTTGTAGTAATGCAACTTACGAGTAAACCGGAAATGCTGCTATTAAAAAGAAAATCTCGCATATCTAACTTCTTTTAAAGCTCTTGATATCTAATTTTTGAAATAGTCAATATCTGCAATTCCCTTAAATTTTTGAAACTTTAGAGCATCAAAATTTGAAATCTTTTCAATGATTTTTGATAACTGGATAAATCCACTGCCAATATTTTATTTAAATATCATTTTGCAGAAAAATTTAAGTAGAAAATAAGATATTGGGGAAATATTGTTTCTCTACGGATAAAAATATTATCTATTGCTATTGTTTTCAATATTTTTTTAAAATTTTGTACATGAATGAACCAAATCGCTTTTCCATAATTTTGTCAATTCTTCACAAAATACAATTCAATCGATTTTTGATCAAACGCGCGAATATCATTAAATCATAAAAAGAGGACAAGAGAGCGCAAGTATCGGACGAAATCTTGTATGTATTAATATCTACTGTCTAGAGTCGTAAGTCCATAGTTCAAGTTTCATGGATTTATCGTACAAAACAGTCAGCAAAGATACGAAATTTATACGAGACCGCAATAGGAATAGATATATTAACTGTGATTGCAAATGCTAAAATTTCCGGGGAAGAGAATTCATTAATCGCAAAGTCGAAGCTGAATAAGTAATCGTCAAATGTCTTAAGAAGAAGATATGATTGATGACTTTTGACTGTCGTTCTTATCGACGGCTGAAACGTGATCAGGATTTTCTCCATGCGCGTAACGCTCCCACATCTTTGTGTACAACAACTCCATGCCTATGGCGTATAGCTTGCAGTTAAAGAGTGGACTTTCTGATCGAGCCTTCCATACTTTAACTCTTGTTGCTTTCAAGCTGGCAAATAAAGAAATAAAAAGTTTATGTTACGTCCCAATAGAAAATTTCTAACGAAGGATGTCACAGAAATCGAAATACTTACTATTCTCTATCAGTACCCAGTCTAATAGCAATATCTTGATACTCCTGTCGTGTTCGTGCTACCAATTCAGGACAGCCAAGAGTGTTTAATTGACTAGCTGCGACACGAGAGGCTAGAGTTTCCCCCGGAAGCGTAACCACCGGCGTTCCAGTCCACAAAACATCCATACTAGTCGTATGTCCATTGCAGAGTGGTGTATCTAGACATACGTCGGCCAACTGGCCTCGTCTCACATGTTCTTCTTTAGCAGCAACATTGCTGAACAGGATTCTACCGGGCGCCAGACCCAATTGTTGTGCCGTTGCTTGAAGATTAGGTTCGCCGACCGCCGGAAAACGTAGCAACCACAGTACGGAATTTGGCACATGTTTCAATATCTAAAATCAAATCCACGGGTTATCCAAACTGTCGGAGATGAATTGAAAATTTTACGTTTTTCGAAATTGCTTCGTTATTACTCACGTGTGCCCACATGTGAAGAGTAAGCGGATCAATCTTATACAACTGATTGAAGTTGCAATAAACAACGGCATCCTCCGGCAATCCGTACTGTTGCCTGGTTGTAATGACAATATTCTGAGGCACCTCCTCGCCCGTAGCAGTTTTATTATTCACTTGTGTGGTGGCCATACCATTTTGCAGAACGACGCCGTTCACAGACATTTGACACTGGCCGGAAGCGATCATCGTTTCGATCGGGGTAGTAGTTGGTAACTCGGCAACTTTGAGTGAGATCTCGACGGGTTGCTTCTTGGCGTCCGGCACAACTACCTCGCGAATCTCTTTTATCAGAGTATTCTCAATCATCGGAGAGAGATCCGTAGCATTGATTACCGCAACATTGTCAGCTACTTTACCCTTGAGATTCAACTTGTCCGTTAGGATTAAACGTTCTTTCAGATGAGGAAACATTTGCCTAAAAATAAAGACAATTTTGTTAAATGGCCAAAATTTTCATAAAATGAAACACAATTTCACACAAGAGAATGCAGCTATCTTTATATTTCATCTTCATTTCACCTTCAATCGATGCGAAAAAATTTGCGAAAAAATAAAAAATAAATGTACGTACTTATGATCGCCGATAAAGTAAGTGTGTGGCATATAGGCGAGTTTCTCGCTGTATTGACTGGCGAGCTCCAACGGCGAAGTGACCTCGTCCGTGATGAGATAGTCCATGAAACTTGCGCCAGAAGTACCAGGATAACCCAGCCACATGACCTGTACCGGTGCTGGTCGCAAAGCAAAGATCTCGTTCCTGGCACCTTTCGTATAACCGTTCATGTTCACTAGAATGTGAACGCCATCAGCATTGATGCGATCAGCAGCCTTGCCGTTGCATGGGATCTGAGAGAGATCGACAAAATGCTCGGTCTCTCGTGCTATTTTCGCACGAAAGGTTGTGCCATCATCCGCGCTAAGCGCATAGCAGAAGATTTCGACTTTCTCACGATCATGTAAGCCAGGTATTGATTGCATCAAGTGACTAGTCGGATGATTGCCGAAGTCTGATGAAACGTATCCAATCTTCAATCGCGTGCCGATTGTACGCGGGTATTTGTATGGTTGTTTGTGAAGGACATGAATCTGCAACGTATAAGTAATTATCGGCAATGAAAATAATATTTATGGAACAGTGAATGGAACAGAATATATTAATCCATTTTCGGTAGAGTATATAGAGAGATGGAATTGTAAAAAAGATTTAAAAAAGAATTAGAAGGAAACTAACTTACTTTCTCTATGCAGAGGTTAGCATGTCGAGCAGCGATAGCTTTCCGGAATTCGTGAGACAAAGGATAAAGCATGGAATGATGTGGATGCACGCTAGGCAGTCTGTTCTTGTCTAACTGCTCAGCGACAATAGACACCAATTTCTTCATTCTGGCTTCGTAATCTGTCCAATCGCAAACTATTTGCAAACAGTGCGCCAAGTTGCAATAGGCATCTGGAAAGTCTGGCTTCAACTTCAATGCTGTTCTGTATGATTGAATCGCTTCGGGAATGTTGCCGGAATCTTTGTGGATTGATGCCAAATTGGAATGAGCGTCAGCAAAGGCCGGATTGATTTGGATAGCCCGAGTGTAACACTGTAGAGCACCTTGTATATCTTGCATCTCTTTCAACGTGTTTCCCATGTTCGAGTAAGCATCGGCGAAGGTCGGCTGTATGCGAATTGCCTCCTTATAATGCATCAATGCTTCGTTCAATTTGCCTTGCTGCTGCAAGACAGAGGCAAGATTGCTGTGGGCGGCTGCAAATTCAGGAAATACTTCCAAGGCTTTAAGATACAAGCGAGTTGCCTCCTCAATGTAGCCTTGCTCGCGTTTTATGTTGGCCTAAAGAATAACCATTTCATTATATAAACTTGTTTCTTACTGTTATGCATTAACGTTACAATTAAAAGATAATTCTGTACCAAGTTATTAAGAGAGTCCGCGTGTGTGGGACAAAGCCGGAGGGCGGTATTGTAACATTCTTCCGCTTCGACCACTTGTCCCTTTTCTTTGAGAGCGTTTGCCAGATTGCAGTACGCGTCAGGGAAATTCGGTTGTAATTCGATAGCACGACGATATGTATCGATGGCCAGATCGATGAGCCTATAATATATTACGTAATTTTCAATTACTTATTTTTCTCGACGTCCACGTTTTGTTTTATCAAGATTGTGTTAAATCTATTGTAAATGCTTCTTGTAAATACAATCCTTGTAAAATATATTAACTCACCCTTGCTCGTAATAAACGCATGCCAAATTTCCATGTACGACTGCATTGTTAGGACTGAGGTTCAACGCGCGAAGATATGCTGCTACAGCTCTGTAACAATTGATAATTAAAGAACAATCGTCGATTTCAGATCATTTTGGCGATAAAGACTTAGCTTATAAAAGGATTAGGTATTAATGACGTTAAATAAACATCATTTCTCTTGATAATCTATAACAAAAGAAGTAAGATTATTTCTTATTTCTAGCGATTCGATCATAATTGTAGAAATTAGTTGTTAATACAGCTCCCATCGCTATAAAGTCGAGTCTGATGAACCTTTTAACGTAGCGCCTGATCCAGGAGACGCATCCGGAGGTGGAGGGTCGCGCGAGAGTATCTTCTATTTGAACGCGAAGCACGGGCGCGATAGTGGTCGAAGGCGAGATCACCGTATAGACGACCACGCACTGGCAGTCCATTCCTTCCCCATCCCGGCTGTCTTGGATTCGCGAATCCCAGAAAGCACGGATCCGAGTATGAAGGAAAAAAATCTTTCACGACGCGGCACGTTAGAAGAATTGATCCTTAGAGACAGGAATCAGCAAAAGAAACTCAAATTTATGGATTTTCGGGAAAAGGAATTTTTTTGGTAGAGAAGCACGATTTCATGCGAAGTACGCGAAAATAACGATTTTTTTTTTTTTTTTTTTTTTTCCCGAAAGTGTCGGGTTCATGGAATCTTGAATTTTTTTATCCGGTACAAGATGTTGAATCGAGAAATTGTGTTAGAAATAAATAATCCTTCCCATGACCATTAAATTTAGTTGGATACAGTCTCTTTGGATATTTCCTATAACTCTTATGTTGCAGAAATATAAGATAAAACACGGATTTTCAAATGTACGAATATGAATGGAAAACAGACATTGTTGAATATCTTTTACGTCCACCAATATTCTCGATGCACAGGTTAAAATAAAAAGTGTATCAGTATTTCTTGAACACGCAAATCTTGGATTCACTGCGATATTCAAGCGTAGAAATCACGAAATAAAAATCACGAACAAACACGAACTGCGCAGCGCAGATCCTTGGATCCACGTGGATCTATATAGGATTCACTTATCCTAGAATCCATAGATGTTTAGGTGGCAGGAATTAAAGCAGGAATTACACAAGCTCGGATGTGCCTTCGATGTACGGATCCTGGATGGATGGATCAGCTTCGGGAGATGGTAGCAGCTAGAGGAAAGCCGCTTAACTCGCAAGCGAACGAAAGCTGAACGAGCACGCGTATCCTCCCACAAGAGGGAGGCGAAGGGCTCCAATGGGGGCGGAGCGGCTTTTAGAATCGATAGTTGTCCTCGAATTCCTCCCACTTTATGCGTGAGAAAACCTCGGAACCGGATAAATGCATTCAATGAATCCATTATTATCAATTAATTATATTTAATATAAACGCTTTTATTTTAATTCGCTTTTATATGTATTATATGTATTATAGACTAATAAGAAGAAAAGCTAAAAAATAATATGTGCAAAAACCGATATTACTTTTTACGATTAGCTTGATCTCGGTCGTGATAACGAAATATTTTGGTATATCAATAGAAAATTAAAATGTTTAGCTGGAAGTACCTATAAGTGAAATTTGGCAATATCGGCCGCGTAGACGAAGGAACAAAAGATATTCAAATTTTTATTATTTCTTTCACCTTTTCGACGTACTTTGATGAAAATCAATAGGCACTAGAGCCACAAGGCTTCAACAGATGTAAAGTTAAACAAGAGAATAAGAAATTAAATGTATCATGAAAATGGTTTTACAATCAATCATCATGCATTTACATGTAAAAATGTGGAAATTAAAAATAGAAATGTGATAATGTATACAGAGATATATGAATACGATGAATTTCTAATATAGTCTCTAGTAAAACAGTATATTTTACTTTACTATTATATAAAAAACACTAATAAAATAGTTAAAGTCCACTCTAAATTAATGCAAATACCAATATTAATCGCGCGAAATGCTCCGTGCTTAAAAATTATGTTTGAAGAGAAACGGTGCATTGTCCGAATTCTCCTTCGAATGCAGAGGACGATGAACTTGAAAAGGATGTTACATAAATATCGATCCTCAGTACTGACTCGACAGCTCATGCGCCATATTCGCCTATTTCCAAGTGTGCATGAAACGCGAATGTTAAGTCCGTTTACATAATTTTGCACATAATTCAATATTCTCTCTTTTTTAATCCAACAATAAACTCGGAAATATTATGTATTTTTATATTGTAAATTAATTCGCGTTCGCACGTGCAAAGATAGAATACAAATTCCATATCTTTGCGGCAAAAGAAAGAACAGTAATAGTAGTAGTAGTAGTATAATAGTATTGTTTAAAGCAAACTAAACTGTATGACTTTGGACTAGCCATTGATGATTTTATGCAATATACATCAATGGAATAACTAAAGCCATTTTTAATCTCGCACAGACTTTAAAACCGACGACCACGAGAATTTCAAGACGTTGGTTGATCAACACTGTGCGTGTAATATTTCGTCATCCATCATTTTTCACAAATCTCTGAGTCATTTAAATTATCGTGACAAATAATAATTTGTAACAGAAGCATAAGATGGAAAGCTGTTTTATATCGTCAAGTTCAAATTTTTATATCATTTATATTATTTGAAAAGTAATGTTTAAAAAATTCTTTAACACATCTTGATAGTAAGTAAAATATTGTATTAGCAATATGCTTGCAATCAGCCATCAGAAACAATATTCTAATAGAATATTGCAATAGATTGGCATCAACTGCATTCGTTTTATGTATAAATATGTATTCCCAAAGTAGAACTTACCGACATCTGTTTTGTAACATTTAATGGCAAATTTGATTTTTGCAGTCAATCTGCTATTATATGTATATGCATATTATATATATATATATATATATATATATATATATATATATGCAGGGTCTATTATACTTCTGCTGACATTTTGTCAAAAAAATTTATATCCAACACTTTATAAAATGTTTTCAATAGATTTGACTATTGGAGGAGGGAAATCATTATCACACAACTCATATTATTTACGAAATAAAAAAGATGATAAGAAAATTGGAAAATATTAAATTATCAATATTTTCATAGAAACAAACCTGTCAAAAATTCTAGCTTCTTTTAATACATTTCCAAGGTTGATGTATGCATCTAGAAAGTTGGGATCCAAGGCAACTGCTTTTTCAAAATGGTGTATCGCCAACCATATTTCTCCTTGGGCATTGAACACGCAGCCGAGATTGCTCCAGGCAACTGCAAAGTCCGGTCGTGTCTCGATCGCCTTCAAGTAGCAGGCCTAAAGAAACAGAATGCAATTCACAGCGGTTTTTTATTCGCGAACTCGAAGGGACGCGCGCCGCGCGATATGCCCGACCTCCCATCGCCGCGCTGCAGCTTCTTTCATTCTCTCTCTCTCTCTCTCTCTCTCTCTTTCACACGCTCTCCCTTTCCTTCTTTCTTTTTCTTTCCCTTCATCCTCTCGTTGTTAATCTCGAAGAAAAAAGCCAAAGACATTTTGCCACTGTATATTGCTTCTGTTTCCTTTCCTCACCATGTCTCTCCTTCCCATTCCTTCAAACGTTGCGACAGTTTCGATGTATGTTTAGAGTTGTTCGAGTTTCTCCATAACTTTTTGTCATCTGTTGTTTGTGTTTGTGAAATAGATTATCATTTTTTCAGGTTTCAGGATCATATTGACTTTAAAAAAATGGAAGATATGGAATATTGATTAGGCTTGTCAACAGTTTTAAAAGTATTTAGCGTAAATTGTTTTTAATCAGGCATAAATTTTTCATTAATATAAATTAAATAATTCTACTTCCATTAGTTTAGCAAACACATCTTGAATTTTGAAGCATCTAACCATTTTCCAGCATCCTGTTTAAGGGTAATAAAAGACTAAAAGAGTCATAAAAAAATATATCATAAGATATTTAAATGAAATTTAATAGACCAAAGATCAGCGGAAGCAAAAAAACTGTAGGCAGATATCTGTGAAAACAATAATCTATGGAAACAAAAATATGTAAAGCCGCAAATCTGTAAAAGTATAAACCTGCACGAAATCATAAAGTTATGCACTAACACGCCAATATCAATAAGCTTTCTTTTACGATTACTAACTAATGCGAACTTGCTGAAAACAAAAGTATCGAAATTGCCATATCTGTGTACATCAGAGATATAAAGACAGTGCAAATTCACAATATTCGACGAACATTTCTTTTTATATCATGAAATGTTTTTTTACAAATACAATCATTGTAATTCATTCGATTTTTTTATTTTTCTCCCTCAATGCCGTCGATTTTGAAGTTTGCCCTTCTTGTGCTCATCAAGGGCAAGAAGATGGCAAGGAATGAAAACAGAATGAACGAGGGTTGCCTCGCAAATGGTTAACAATTCATTCTCGGATAGGAATTAGGTAGATTCAGGATCAAAGGTATTAAGGTGCGCGCTAGAGGCGTCATCTTTAAACATGCGACTTTCGGTGCACATCGAGTCCCCGAAATGCGTCCGGCGGACTCGACCGCACGCTGAAGGTCGTACGCTAAAAAATCAAAATGTGACCCAGTCTCATCTGGTCTTCACTCTAATCGAAAGAAAGTTTTACGACGAGAAACTATTTCGATTTGTAAATATAATATTAGGAATGATTGCAAGGATTTCCGACAACAGAATGACGACTCTAAGGACTCAGCGTGGATAATCATCGCGCGTGCCGAGAGGTGGGCTGCATTGATATTGAACAGAGTAATCCGTACCTAAACAATAAGGGCATTTACAGTTGACCGGTCTCTGCAAGGTGCGGTAACCTGGAATTAAAGGAGAGAAAAAAAAAGAACGGGACAGGAGTTGGAGAATGCGCGATTTTGTTATACTCGATATGTGCGCGATATAATGCAAATAAGTAGGGACTATTGCAGCATTTTTGCATTTTCTAATAAAATTTAATATTAAATTTAAAAAAGAAGACTTGTGTGTCTGTGTAAAGATATATCGAAAAAATTATCTAATAAAATATATAACAACGCGCTTGTTAATATAATTAAATACAACATTTCAAAAATTATCAGTATCTATTGATAAATATATTGAATGCAAAAGCACTCATAGAATGGAGATATATCAGTTTTAAAAATCATACTCTCTACGATAAGAATATAAACGTTATTACGGGACAAAAAATAAATCTGGAATAATATAATGTTGTAAATACAGAGATAATAATATTACATCTTGTATGAGAATGTTATAAAAATCCCAAAATCTCGTGTTTGTGTAAGATCTCAAAGATCATTTAAATAAAGTAAAAAAAATCTATATCTGCATATATAATAAATATGTTATATGTAAATCTAAAAATAATCAACGTATCGATTGTCTTTCTTTGTAAAATTACTTCGCGATACTTGAAATAGAATGGGATGAGGGACTTTTGATTTTTTTGTTCGACGAGTTGACGGGAACTGGAAGGTTTTTAGAGACCGGCCTTGGGAATTACTTTACCTGCAGTGTACCCTTCGGTAGGTTGACTCGGTAGGTACGGCTTGCAAGCTCTCATAATAAACTTAGACCGAGAGACAGTGTGTTACTGAATAACCAGATTCAGATTCACCCTTTGACGAAGGAACCGGCACGGTAACCGACCAACCTCACATTGCTGCACTTCCCCTCCTAGAGTTGATCATCCCATCCACAACAATAAGACAGCTGCGTTAATGTCTCTTCACTGATTACTCTTCGCCTCAATCTTTGTCTTTTATCTTTTATCATCTCTTTTTCTCTCTCTCTCTCTCTCTCTCTCTCTCTCTCTCCTCTCTCTTTTTGTGTGCGTGTGTATGTGTGCGCGCGTGTGGTGTGTGTGTGGGTGGGTGTGTGTACACAAACGAATTGATAATTTGTGCCTGCGAAGGACACGCTTCACCGAACTCATCAGCCAGCTGCTGCTGCTTCTTGTTCTCTCTCGCGATCGCAGAACATATAACACGGCTGCATTTCTTTCCTTTTTATGAATATTCTATTATATTAATTCTGTCAATCATCAGACGTTACGTGGAAAACAAGCAGTGCGAAAGAGTTACGTTATGTTATCATTATGTTGTCGATGCAAGTAGATGGCTGAAGGAGCTCGGTAAGAAATGAACGAGCATACCAGCCAGTTCTCAGGAATAGCGGGAAGCGTAACGGGAAGCTTTCCTCATTGCTGCCAGTTTTTAGAATCGAATAAGGGCATGTCTATAAATCATATTTGTTAACTATGCATTGAAAATATTTACAATTTGCCAGAGCTAACCAGAAAATGAAAATAAAAAGTTATATACAACGAATATAGTGCTTATAGATACACCCTCACCGGTCGTTGCCGCGCCGCGCTGCAAAAGTAGATCACTTGACCGATTAACGATAGATCATCGGCATCGATTAAAAAAGTAAGATATAAAACACAAGTTTTAACAATTTCATGATTCTTTCTCTCTTATTATTCATAACATTATTTTCATTATTACTACACAAATAATCTATTCCCGCATTAAAGATAAAAGTCCCTGTGACAACATATTATCACACGGCTGATTTAACGCTATATAATAATTTCCGATTTAATTTAAATAACTAGTCAAGTGATCTCGCGCCGTACACTGTTACCGTACACACTATAAATTCTCTCCCTCTCTCTTTCTGTCATCATATGAAAATGTTGGATAAAAACGCACGTGATAACGCGTGTACTGCAATAATAATAGTAAGTCACACACAATTCAAACAAGAGGTAAAATCAGCTCATACATTACATTCGCGCGCTGCTAGAACCATCGGTATTGATTTAGTGGAAATGAAATCCACTCAGATGGAACTGGCTAACAAATATATAATTTGCAGCAACATTACGAATCCTCAAAATAGTCAAAACGCACTTGATGTTGCTGCAAAACGCGCAACGCTAGAAAGAATATTCTTTTCAGTTACTTTGATAATAATCCCCTAAACACTATAAAATATTTCTTGATTTTCTTGATTCTTTTTTGGAAATTTTTTGAGAAATGTTATAATAAGTTTATCGTATCAAAAGAGAGAAAAAATTATTTAAAAAACTCAAGATTCATATTTTTCTCTTTAGAATATCCAATTGTTTTGATAATGTGTTATTTTCAACATAAAAATTTTGTAAGTTTTTACAAAGAATTCAGATTGGAATGCGTTCATCAGAAGTTGTTATATTGTTTAGGGTTTTATATATTAAAATCATCGCGTTTAATGTCGTTCTGAAAAATCGAATTCTGCTCACGACATAAAACGTGATTCTTTCAGTTTTACAGGATGAAGGAATGCACACGATCTTCAATCTGTCAGACAGATAAGCTCGCGATTATACACTCAACATCTTTCAACATGCTTATTCCGAGATAACTATCAAAGATTCGGAATTTGCGGTTCAATCTATATAAATCAATCTCACCGATGGAAGATCGTGCACCGCGCTTGCAAGTTGTTTGACAAGGATTGAAAGCTTCTCGTGATAACGGCGCGAACAAATTTCGTGCAGTCCGCTAATTTCGCGGAGAACTAAGCGCTGTAGCTCGTGCACATACGCGCGATGCATTTGTACTCTGTCAAGAAATGTCAATGAAGATTCAAGATTGGCGGAACATTATCTGCTAATTAGAGCAAAAAAGTATTACACGTGATCAAATGTAATGGAACAAATTTCTCTGCTCTCCTTGATCCAGAGATGTGTACAGAATTTATTATTAATATCCATTCTTTCTATAGCATTCTTTAAGGAAGGTAATATATAATTTTCAAGATTGGATAAATAAATATCTTGTTAAAGTTAAAAAACTTCTGTAGCAATCTGTTAGTTCAAGGAGTGTGCGATTCCTACTCGATGGTTCCGCCATCTTCATCAAAGCTTGATCGAAGTAAAGACGCTCGCGAACATGTGCGTAATACGTTGGATTAATTTATTAACTAGTGAAAGTAATTCCAAAACATACCTTGGCTTCATCAAGTCTTGCTAATGCTTTCAAAAGATTACCAAGATCACTCCGCACGCAATAAAGGTCCTGAAACAGGCAAAATATGTAAATTATTTCCGCATAACTTGTATATATCTAATTCAATAAAAGTTTTATGTAATGGAATATTGGTTTTTGCTAAAACAATAAGTTTTATTCCTGAATCTACAAATGTAAAAGAACGATAAGTAAATCTTATCAGCGCAATAGTTGTACCATACAGAAAGAGTGAAGCTTGATTTCATCTTACAAGTAAAAATTTTGTTTTCTGCATATTAAGAAGCTATTCAGATGTTTTATTTTATATTTAAGTAATCGCTAACTACAATATATTCGTAATATAGATTTTCTCACAGGATTATATTGTAGCGCTGTGACATAGGCTTGAACGGCTTGTTCCATGTCACCAGCTGCCACAAGTGCCGCGGCCAAGTTGATGTAACCATCGATGAAATCAGGTTTCAGCCTGACAGCATGACGATAATTCTCCAGCGCTTCCGGTAGCTGTCCACGCTCCTTATATACATTTCCCAAATTGCTATACGCCTCCGCCAATAATGGATTTTGCTTTATCGCTAAGGTGCTATAATGTGCCGATCTAAAATGTATAAAATTATGATTTTATATATGTCTCTCTCTCCCTTTCTGTGCGTGCGTGCGTGTATGACATGTATAGAATTAAATATTAATAATAAGAAGTTACTCTTACTTATCTAACCTCCTACATTGGAAATGTATAGAGGAAAGTAATAGAAGAACACCAGTATTGTTTGTCTCCTGTCGCCATAACTGCATGCAGTGTCTTTCAGCGTTATCGTAATCTCCTGCCTGATATTCCCTGTGAGCGAGTTCTAGCAACCCTGAAACAAAAATCAAAATAATACATCAAGTATTCAGACCAATTTGACTTCAAATTCATTCAGTCCCTCATATCTTTTGTTCACTTTATATTTGATATCACAGAATTCACATATAACAAATATTATATAGATAAATAAGTAGAAAATGTTTTCATGGTTTCTCAATATGTAAGCTGCAAAGACACTGAACATTCAAAAAATATTGAAAAAGTGTACGCAGTTTTATGTAAGAATGTTTTAAGAACGTGCCGTGAATACGTAATTCAGTCAAATGTGAAGATAAAGTTTAAACTTGCAAAGAAAATGCTAATTTTTCTTCATTTTAAAAATATTATGATAAAGATGTGACAGAGAACACGCGTCTAATCGAATAATGTCAAGTGGATTTGCATTATATCTACGCATGTATTTTAATCGCAAATTTAAATTTGTCGATTTGCACTCGTCGACTGCAAAACTGCATGACTCCAAATCAATCAATTGCCCCTAACGAAAAAGCAATATCCAGGAAATGTTACGAACAATAGGTATCTACAGCCACATTGATGGTTTGATTATCGGTTAGGCTGATCAGTTCCTTGCCCTGATGGGTGTTCTGCGTGACCACCAGAAGATTCTGTCCGTTTTGCCAATCACCACCCTCGTTTTCCATAGTTGCGATCAACCCGTTGGAGCCCTTTTTCTCCCCGACACGCACGCTCATCTTCGACGGACTTGGAGATTTCACAATTATGTTTCACAAGTATGTGCTTAAATACAGAAAGTCGAAAGCTCGCGCGACTAACTTCCCTCTTAGCTTTCACGCACTTTAGCTCAGTCCGGACAAATCACGGGAAATGTTTCAGAGCGGCGCGGCGATTTTCAGACTCCGGCAGTGAACGTAATTTCTCCTCTGCTCCGCTTACGCTTTACCTTCTTTTACCTCGAGTTTCGCTACACGTACATACATACATACATACGCTCTGCTGCCTAATTCACCCTCCATCCTCCCTCCCTGCCTGTCCACAGGCAGCGCAACGGACGAGCCGATTGGTCGGTGCCATAGCGGACTGACGCGTCAGATTGGAACGAAAAGAACGGAGAAGCGGTAAGAGGAAATTTCAGGAGCGTACATATCGCACATTGTCCAAATATCTCCGATATTTCAGTCGTTTCAGGAAAAAAAAAATTATTTTTCTGTACAAACTACCTTAATACGTGTTCTCATTTCACGCTTAAAAAAAAAACTGTCGAGTACTCGCGAAACTATTATGTATTGACTTTTGCAACTAAATTAAAGTTGTAAAATTTATTAGTTACAATTTAATTTGATTTATATTATAATAATTTCTTAACTAAAATTCATTACATGTGATATCAATCTTATTATCTCTGTTCTTTGATACCTTTCATGAAAAGAACTAGAAGAATTAATTCGTATAAAAAATATAATCACATCTTATTTTCAATAATAAAAGTAATTTACGAATTTCGAAAATAATTTCAACTGAAATAAGGCCATCATAAATTCCGTTTCAAAACGGAGCAAGTTTAAACTCATACACTTTTTTACTATTTTCAAGTCGCATGTATAGACGTAAACATGTCATCTTGAATATTTCTTCTAGATAAATATGTAATATTAAAGGTATCACGACTGCTCTTTCCTAATTAAAACCACGTAATAGGAAATTTAACTTTTAATCATTAAATCATTTAAAAATGTGAGTTATAATAATATATTTGTATCGTCGTTACTTCCAGTCGCTATACACGTTCCTGTCCTGAAAGACCAAGGCAGGAGAAGCTATAGCAACGAAAAAGAAAGGAGAAGGGAGGAAGGAAGAGGGGAGACAGAGAGAGAGAGAGAGAGAGAGAGAGATATGTCTCCCTTCTCAGTGCAGAAGGCAGATGGAATAGGTACCCAGTGGAATATTCCATGTCGCGTTTAACGAAAGGGGAGGAAGCGAAGAGGGGAGGTATCCGCTGTCAAGAGGAAGGGATAGCAAAGCTTACCGACGACGCGATGCCGGTGAATTTATGAAAAAATCAAGGAAATACTTTTGTCTAACCGTACACGTTGCCAATGCCCGGTTGAAATAATAATAAAATATTACTATACAACTAACTAAAAACACATTTATCTTTCGCTTTTATCCCATAAAAAGACTAAAATCGATAAATAGAAAATATTATAAATTCAAGGCAACTCAAGAAAATTTGATTTAGTAATAAAGATCAATTTCACAGAACACAGAACTAATATTTAGGATAAAAAGTTTTAAGAACAGATTATTATTACTTTAACGCATAAATATATCATGATAAAAATACGAACGTAATGTATGAACGTAAATCTTATCTCAAAGTGCTATTTCATATTTCAGCAACACTTATTGTACACTTAATATAGGTATACTTGTTTTAGATTTGAATACATTAAATATTATCTCTGCACTTTTATAAGATTTGAACTTTTTTGCTTATTCGAAAGTTATTAACTATAGTATGTAAAATTGCAAAAACTATAATCTACATAAAACTATGCTGATATTTTGATTGACATTTAATAAATGCAAAATATCAGATTAACATAAAATGTGATATATTTGTAAGTTACATTTATTTCAACAAAGATAATCTAATTTTGATTTTGACTTTAATGATAGATAAATTTAAAATTCATATTTTCGTTTCAAAATATTAGGATCCCAATTATCTCAATTTTTTTATTAGCAACAAAAAGTATTACAACAAGTAACACTTTCATAGTCTTTAGTTTAATATCAAATGAGCTTTGATTTAAACTTACATTATTGATATAATGTCTAATAATAATTCTTAAACTTAGTTATGCTGATGTATAATTTTGGAAATTTTTAAGTTGTACAAATGATAATTCAACACTATTGTTAGAGAAAAATCAATTTTCAAATTGATCGAACAATCATCTATCGTTGATATTTAGATGTGTACGCGCGCGCGCCTGTTTTGTGTGTGTGTGTGTGTGTGTGTAGCGATTCCCCTAGTGTACAAGTGCGATTAAAAGATAAATAACACATTTTTTAATTGCACTTGTTACACTACAGGGATCTCTAGATTGAAAATGAAATAAATGTATAAGTTCTGGAAGAAAAAAAAATATTAAAGTTATACAAGTACATAGAGAGTGTGCAGCTATCAGTAGCAGCATCGTATATTTAGAGTTTTCGCAGCTACATAAAAGAAGAACAAGCGGTGTAAAGGCCAAGTCGGGGCAAGTGGAGGTTAAAGACGAAGGCAGAAGAAATGTCACGTTCGTTCCGAAAAGTCTAAAAAAGTCTAAAAAGATGCCAACGTACCGACGGTCGAAAGTTGCTGAATTTCGTTCATTTTTAATATCACACTGGTGCTCGCTATCTGTTGGTGGCCTTGCTGCTGTTGCTGCTGCGGTTGTGGTTGCTGTTGAGCTTGCATGGCTGTGGCACGAGCTCGACAAAGACGCGAAACGCGAGATGCGAGTGCGACACGAAGACTGCGCGAACCGCGAAATTGGCAAGCTGTTGTTACAACGAGCTCCGCGAAGAACCGCGTCTGGGACTGCGACTCTGATAAACGCACTTACGTAAAACGGCTGATATGCTCGATGCGCATGTTAGCACGATTTCCACGCGCGCGCCATCATGAATCTCCTCTCCAGTCTCCTTGCGACGCTTGCGACAGTTGCGACTCCTGCGCGAGCATCGTGAAATATCGAAAACTCGACAGTCACGTTCGGTAACGTTCGGCCATCTTCGACAGGTCACACATCGCATTATATATTATAGTATAGCGACTAGTCGCGGAC